CTAGAGCTGTAGGTGCAAGCGTGATGAGAGGAAGCTGGGTGGCAGCTCCCGGGGGGGGTTCTCCTCTGGAGCACTGGGGTGTGTCCCCACACTGAGGACATGGCACACCCTGCCCTGCACTGGTCCACCCAGGTGCTGTGGGCCACCCGCCTGGGACCCTGCTCGCCCACTGAGGTTCAGCATGACCCTTGCCTGCCTTTCCTGGGGTGCCCTTTCCTCCCAGGCCTTTGTGTAGATGGGGGTCTTTGAAGTCCGCTTTGACTTGGCCCCTGTCACCCAGACAGCCACACTGTTCTGTCTTCAACTCCGTTCAAGGGTCGTCCAACCGTTTTTGGCAAGTTGGACTTTCAGCAAACTGATTGGGAGCCTGAACAAGGCTGTGCTGACGACCTGTGGCCAGCCAGGCCCCGCCCACATCTCAGCCCTTTCCTCCCCATGCTGTTTGCAGGGTCACCAGGCCTGCTCCTCTCTGAGACTTCAAGGAGAGCCCAGCTCCTGCCCTGCCCTGGCTCCCTCCCTCCCCTGAAACCCAGTCCCAGCCTGCACTGGGCAGCGTCCTCTGCGCTCTGCCCTCCTGGAGCCCGAGGTTTCCTACGCTACCACTGGCAAGGGTCTGGGTGCAGCAGCTGCATCATCCCGGGGAGTGGGGGACCGTGGAGCGGGCGCCGGCCTCTGTCTGGGGAGGCAGCTTGAATGTGCACACGGAGGGGACCTGGAGGGGTGGAAGGAGCCAAGCCCCCCCCGTAGACCTGGAGACTCATTGCCAGGGAGCCAGGTGGCCCCAGGGACGATACGCTTGTGTAGTTAGTGAGTCTGCAAGAGGAGCACACAGTGGACTTGTGTGTATGTGCGTGTGTGCATTTGTGTGTGGACACGTGGCTGTGTGTGGTGTGTATGTGTGTGCCTGTGTGTACATGTGTGAATGGTGTATGTGTGTGTGATGGAGAGCATGGTGTGGGATGGAAGATGGGACTGAGTGGTACCTTGGAGAAGTGTTTCCAGCTGGAGAAAGAGCATTGCTGGCCCAGGGCCTGGCTGGGCTGGGTCTCGGGGGCTGTGGCGTCCTACAGAGGCTCGAGATCGGTGAGACTCTAGATCCAGCCTGGACAAACCCCCTCTGATTTGCACTCCTATGCCCCCTTTCCATCCTAGGCAGGGGCTCCCTGGCTCCCTTCTCCAGCCACGTCCTAAGCACCTGCTCCTACCGGCCCGGGGACAGGCACTGCGGACGTAAACATGCATGAGACCCTGTGCCCTTTACCCACCGTACCCTTTACCTGTTGTGTGCTCAGGACCCCCCAGGTTAGCCCATGTGGATGGGTGATGACGTTTGTTTGCCAGAGCCCAGGTTTCAGTCACCATCACTCATACTATCTCGGAAACTCTGTCAACCCCAGGGACGCCCCTTCCCCTCCCTGAGAGCTATTGCAACATTGGGACCAGAGGAGAGGCCTCCTCACCCGTGCCCGGGTGAAAGGGAGTTGTGAAATGTGTGCTTGAAAGGACCCTTTGTCCCCAGGACATGGTGGCCCGGCACCGTGCCTCTGACCGCCTCCAGCAGGAAGTGGGCTGGGGTGGGTGAGCCCAGCTCCTGCCGGCAAACAAAAGGTGTTGTGTGCTCAGGGCTGGCCCGCTGGTGCCCTCGGGAGGGCCAGGCCCAGGGATGGGGCAGGCCTGCTGCCTGCTTGTCCCTTTGTTCTGCAAATGCTGAGAGCAGGCAAGCCCACAAAGTGACCTGCATGCATGTACTTGCGTGCTTACATGAGAGTGCACATGTGGGTGCATGTGAGGATGCATATCTCCGTGCTTGCACATATGTGTGCTTGTGCGTGCTGCATCTGTAGATACGTGTTTGCGAACATGCATTTACATGGGCATGTGTGTGCCTGTGTGTGTGCCTGCATGCCTCTTCGTGTGGTGTGTGGTGTATACATGTGGGTGATGTGTACGTGTGTCTGGGGGGTACATATGTGTGTGGTGTGTGGCCAGGCATCGCAGCTACAGCATAGGTGAGGCTGGAGCCCCCTTCACCAGCCTAACGCCCCAGGGGCCCTGCCCTCCTTCCTGCTTTTCTTTCTGACCCTGAGTGCCACTGTGCAAGTTACCACATCATGGCTGGCAGGATGAGGGTCCTCTCCGTAGAGGGACAGTGGGCTGGGGCCTGGCACTGGAGCACGCGTGTGTCCAGGATGCTGAAGGCTGGCACATGGCCCCAGATCCCTCCCCTGTCCTCAGCCCCACAGTCCCAGTGAGCTCCGGTGGCTTCCATCCTAGCCTGACCGAGAGGGCCCCAGCAACATAGCCTGTGGGTGCTGGCCAGCCGAGCCTTGTGCCAGGTGGGGTGCTTCTGCCTGTGCTGTCTCCACCCTCAGCATCCTTCTCCTGGGACTTCCCAGCCCAGAGCACAAGCTTCAGCATGGGTACAAGGTCCCAGCTGAGCTTGGCAGTGAAGGATTTGAGCCCAGGCCACCTCCTGTCCACCCTCTCACAGCCTGCCCTGCAGGCAGGTCAGGACCTGCCCTCAGATGCCACCCACACTGCCCTGGTTTTCTGGTCTGTGCCGGCCCCACTCCTGATGGCCCAGGTCCTGCCTTGTGCTGCAGAGAGGGCCAAACCTGGCCCGGGCAGACGCGGAAACGTCTTCCTGTTGCAGTTGAAGGGTTCACTTCACCTGAGACAGCCCAGTCTGGCTGTTAGGGCAGAACAGGACAAGCACTGGGAACCCCAGGGGGTTTCTGAGGCCCCGTTCAGCTCAGGATGACAGCAGGAGCCACACCGCACTGAAGGCCACCCTGGGCACCGTGGTGTGGGATGGATGGGAGCACACGTGGGGATTTCTTTTAAGCCACACCGGAGCCTCTTCCTTTCGTGTCCTTCAGTGTTGGTACCAGATAAACACACCCCCAGCACGCACGCGCGCACACACACACACACACACACACACACTGCTTGCTGTGCTTTGTCCAGCTCTTTTCCCAGGCATTGCAAGGGGATTTCTGCTGTTGGGGCGTGTGTGTTTCATCCTGTAGCTTCCTCGTGGGTTTAAGGTTCGTGTTCATGGGTGTCTGAGATTTTCCTACTATATTTACTGTCACCCAAAACAATGCATCGGGGATGGGAGACGCCGCTGCTGGTGGCTTTCTGCAGGAATAAGGAACAGACAAGAGGCCCTGGGAAGACACATGACAGATTCCAGACCTCCCAGACCTGCCTCCCCTGCGATGACCCCAGGGCCCGCGCCCTCATGGGTTGAGGAGTGAGCTGTCCCTCAGGACCCTGTCCTCTGCTGCCCACTGCTCCTACAGGGACAGCCACTGCCTGTGGGCCAGGGGCATAATTGGCTGGCCCTGTGCAAAATGAAATGCAGGGCCCTTGTTAAAACTTATTCAGAATTTCAAGACATGGGAACTGCAGAGCATTGTCCAAGCAGTGGCCCTCCTGCACCTGGGGCCGTGCGCAGCAGTCTGCATAGCCATGAAGCCAGCCGGCCGCCTGTCGGGAGGACCGTGTGTTAGCACACATGCGTGCACACATGTGCATTTGCAGAACGGTTTAGATAGTAGTCATTTCCCTCCTGTGGTGTGGAATCTCCGAAACTTTTTCAAGTTTTCAAGTAAACAAGTATCCTGGGGAACTACAGTTCTGGTTTATGCAAATTGAGAGTCCTGTGCTTTATTTAAAAAAAGGAAAAGAGGTGACGTGGAAGAGAAAACCCAGGAGAGGGGGGATGTCAAGGGTTCTGGAGCGTTGTGAGAGGGACCGGGGCTTCAGACAGGAGGTGGGGGCTGGGGGCCATGGGGGCCAGTCTTGCCCTGGGCCTGGGTGTCTGTGCAGCCTGGGCCTGGTGTGGGTGACAGAGAATCCTTCCCCGCTCTGCAGGGCTGGCAGCTGAGGCAGCCCAGACCCTGGATTCTCTGCATCCTGGGGCCACTGAACCCATCAAACATTAAGCCCCAGGAAGGAGGGACCCAAAAGGAAAGCAGGAAGGGGCTTCATAGGTAAATTGCCCGCATCCAACAAGGTGAGTTCCAAGCCTGTACTCGGAACAGTGAGGACCCCGAGGAACTGTGAGTGGACGAGGAAGGGGCGGAGACGGCCAACCGTGGCCCTCCCAGCACTGGCACGAAGCGAGTCACGTGCAGTCCAACCAGTTTGCACGTAGCGTGGGGCGCGTGGCGTTCACCAGCGAGTGCAGTGGGATTATGTGATAGCTTCATCCATTCTCCTAGAGCCTTGGACCCACTTTCAAACTTCTTTTTCGTGTAAGATGCAAAGTTCTCCCTGATCTCCAGCCATGGGGTTAAGGTTGGTGTAGAATCCTGTGTACATAAAGGTGCATGTTTATAACTTAACCTTGAACGAAAATACTGCCTGGCAGGTGTTTGGTGTCTGATCTGCATGCCTACGTTTTTCAGCGGGATGGCAACCCCTGTTTGTAGGTCCAGTTTGTATAAAAGTAATTACGTGTGCATTAGGAAGGAACTATTTTTTCCCAGTTTGAGAAATGACTAGGATGGGGCACCGACTCCCCACCTCCTGCCTGGCCTCGCACTCTGACTCCAAGTCTGGACCCCCTTGGTTCCCACCCTGTGCACAGGTCCGCCCTCGCTACATCTGAGGACGTCCTGACTGGGAACCCCCTCCTCCTGCCTTTCCCTGCTCTCTAGTGGATTCCAGACAAGAGAGAGTGAGGCAGCCACGCTGCAGGAGGGGCCGTGGCTCTGCTCCACGGACGTGTCTCCAACTCCCTCGGTCACTGCTTACTGCTCCACGACTGGCCGATGGCAGAGCAGGACTTGGGGAGCAAGCACTAAACCAGGAGACCAGGAAGCTGGCGAAGCCCCTGGGCCCAGTGTCCCTGCCTGAGGGTCCCTGGGTGGAGCCATACCGGGCATTGCCTGAGGGCCCTCCCAGCCAGTGTCAGGACCCAGGTCCCCTCGGCAACACCCTCGCAATCCACGAGAGCAGCACGCTGACTGCCTCCCTCTTTTCTCCCGCAGCAAGAATTATCAAGACCAAGCAGTGGTGTGACATGCTTCCGTGTCTGGAGGGGGAAGGCTGTGACTTGCTAATCAACCGGTCAGGCTGGACGTGCACGCAGCCCGGCGGGAGGATAAAGACCACTACGGTACGTGGCCCTTGGCTTTCTCGTGTGTGTGCTGGGGAGGGGGCATGTGCGGGCCTCCGACGCCACCCTGGCTCCGAGGGGACGGGTGGCAGCTGCTCACCTTGTCCTCGTGCAGAGAAGCCAGGGCCCTGTCTCCTCCCCCACCTCCCTCTCTGGGGCTGAATTCCTGACCGTCTGTCCTGGGGCGGAGGGTCCATGAGTACATGGGGGCTGAGAGCTGGATAAAGAACCACCTGCAAGGCTGGTCAGCCCAGAGCTCAGATCACAGACCAGGCCCCGAAATCCATTGGTTAGAGCCATCTTGTTTCTGGGACTGATGTGCCCGTGACTCCAGGCTGGAGGAGGCGTCCGCCCCTCCTGAGGATGAACTTCTGATAACTCCCCCAGGGAACAGGGAGCTTCTGCAGAGACGGAGCCGGGTGCGGGTTCCGTCCGGGTGTGCTCCTTCCGTCCCTGGGCCGGGCCTAGTGGCTGCAGAGACGGAGCCGGGTGCGGGTTCCGTCCGGGTGTGCTCCTTCCGTCCCTGGGCCGGGTCTAGTGGCTGCTCACACCAGAGACCCAGAGGGCCCTTCAGCTCCTCTTTGTCCCACAGAGTGGGGCATGCAGCGCGCCACGCCCTCCTGAAGCCACAGCCGACCTGGGTCTCTAGAGCTGCTCCTCCCAAGGGCAGAAGCTTGGGGAGCGCGGGGTGGCCCTGGGCCTTTTCCGAAGGCAGCTCCTCCAGGCACTCCACGGATTCTGAGGCAGTTTCCCCTGCAGAGGGGCAGAGGAGGCGGGCAGAGGAGGGGAGCCCACGTGCGTGGGGCTTGGGGCGTTCACATGTGGGGTGGCCTCGGCTTCTCACTGGCAAGTGGTACCCCCTTATCCTGGCTCCTCCTGCTTTGAGGTTGGCATTGGAAGCTGAGGACATGAGTGGGTGAGGGTTTCCCTAACATGGATCTGGGCTCCGTGCTCTGAGAATGTTAAGTCAGGGAGATCTGTGGCTGGGCAGAAGGATCCGGAAAGCCCCTGGCATCCGAGCCCCCTCCAAGGATTGCACGGAGAGAGGGGGCTGCAGCCCCTCACACTGGGCTGCAGGGAAATCCTTCCTCTTGCTGCCTGAGCGGCCTCCAAGCGAGGGCTCGGCTGGGCTGTTCCGGCACTTGGTTCAAGAGGCCAATTTGGTGGAGTTGCTCCAAGGAGAACCACAGATCCCTGGGGTTCTAACACAGTTCGGGGCTGTCAGGGTCGTCTTCTGGGAGTCGCACGGCTTTCTGCTGCAGCCAGGATGTCAGTGAGATGGGCAGGGCAGCACGCCAAGCCCCCGTGGGTTTCTCAGGGGCCTCTTGCATTTGTGGAAGTTCATGCAGACTCAGCCTCGCTGGCGGCCCAGGGCCCCCTGGGAGTGCCTGCCTGGAATGTGGGCCTGCAGGAGGAGTGTGAGGCCGGGCACCGGTGCCACCCTGAGGCATGCAGACAGGACAGGAGATGAGGGGCGCGGGTTGGTCTAAGTTGAGGTCCTGGGCTTGCCTGGTCAGGGTTTGTTTATCTGGCATTCAGTGCAGAAGCAGATGATTCCGTCCTGCACCCATGAAATGCATAGCACTCTACCATGTCCTTACTGCTACCTGCCCGCAGAGGGGGCCTAGGCCCTCCTCTGTCCCTGCTTGTTGGGGTTCCCAGGCCTGCGCTAGCTCCCCGAATCTCCAGCAACACAAACAGCAGGTGCATTCCATCCACCTGTGGACCCCGGTCAGGCGCAGCCTTTCACTTCTTTCGTAGAAGCTTCAACATAAGCAGCCGCCTCGCCCCGAATTTTGGAGGGATGGGTGTGAGAGCCACTCTGGGTCCCAGCTGCCAGTGACCCATCACTTCCCAGTCACGCTTTGATGAGCCCCTCCTCCTTGTGATTAGAGGCCCACGAGGCGCCCAGGCCAAGCGTTCAGGCCTCTCCCCTTCAGGAACGAACTCGGATGCACCTCTGTGAGTTGACTGCTCAGGTCACCGGGGTGGGAAGTCAGGGAGTCCACAGACCCCATGAGAGCTGGCGGTGGATAAAGGTGTCGTCACTTCGACGCGGGCAGCCCTGCTGAGCCAGTGACAGGGCCGGAACCGGCCCAGCCCCTCCGGAGGCATCGAGGTGCTTGGCAGGAACAGGATTGGGTCCTTAATTGGAGACTGCTGGCATCGTCACATTTTGGTTTTTGGTAATTTATTGGGGTGAAATTCACATAACATAAAGTCCATTTTAAAGCGAGCAGCTCAGTGGCGTTAGACACACTTACAATGCTGTGCCACCACCTCCTCTACCTGCTTCAGAGCATTTGCATCCCCCTGGAGGGATGCCCTTGGCCCACCGGGCAGCATCAGAGTCTTCACATCTGCATGAAGACTTCTCCTGGTGCAGCTCTGCAGCCACTTCTGCCCAGGGTCACCGTGGCAGACCTTCTGGCCCCGATAAGGGCAACGCTAATTAAAGTGATCAGTGAAGCCCCCCGCACGCAGGGCGCACACTGGTAAGCAGGGGACACAGATGTGGCCTGGCCCCAGCCTGTCAGGCTACCCGGAGAACACCTTGTCAGACAGCTTCATGGTATCTTCCTTTCTTCACTGTTGGCCCAAACCCTGGACCCAGCCCTCCCTGCCTCCTGCATTCACCCAGAATGCCTGTCTTCTCCTCTCTCCTCCTCCTGTTTAGTTCTTCAGCGCCTGAGTCATTCTCATGAAGTCTCATCAGGGACCCCTTCACCTACCCCAGAACCAGACGAGGGCCGCCCAACCAGCCTCCCGCGTCCGTCCAGGTCTGCCTGGCCAGCACGGCCTCTGTGTGTGCAGAGACGGGGAACCGAGGTGCTCTCCGCATCAGCTCTGTCTAAGCCCACAGGGCCCACCACGAGAGACAGTGAGCCCCCCTTGTTCTGGGGCATTTGAGACAGAGGCTGACCAGGCACCCAGGATATTCCAGAGGGGTTCGAGGCTTCCTGGCTTGGGGAACAGTAGCTGCACCTGTCCAGTGCTTGGTGTGCTCAGAGAGCCTGGCGGAGACGGCTGCGGACTCTCCTTCCCTTGGGCCTCACAGGCCTGGGAGCTCAGTTTCACAAGCTTGAATACTGCAGCTGGGCGAGCTGGAGTGACTGCTGGTGGCCAGGGGGACAGGAGTCCAGGGAGGTGGGATCGATTCTGCCTGGTCTGCTCAACACAAAGGCCAGACCTGGCTCGGCGTGAGACCCTACGTGGCTTTCAGCTCAGGAGACTCAGATACTCTGATCTTCCCATCGTTAGGACACTTTGCAGGGGACCCCCCAAGCCTGTGCTGGTGGAAGCTGGGAGGGCACCTGCAGGGACCAGGGACATGGGCGGGTGGGAGTCTGACTGTAGCAGGACACTCCATCGTCCAGCGTGGGAAGGACAGGTGCCCCCTCCCGGGCTGGTCACTCTCAGGGAGCCTGATTCTTCTGGAGGGTGAGGTCTCATAGGTGGAGGGGAGGGCTCTGCTTTCCTGGGGGAGAGTGTGTGTCGGGGGCTTGAGGACCTGTCTCTCAGCCTTTGCCTCACGTTGCCATGGCGGGGGCACCTTGTGTACATGGCCACGGGTGCCTGGGCTGGTGGATCTCGGTGAGTGACCGTGTGCTCACTCCAGGGGACTGGGGTGGGCCCTGTCATCTTCCCAGGTGTCTCGGGAGAAGTCTGGGAACAACATGAGAGCCGGCTGCTAATAGAATCGCTGGCCTGTGGTGACCTGTGTTCAGAGCTTTCTGAAAAGGTTAGTTGGGCTCTTGAACCAAACACCATAGAACTGGGAGCTACAATCTCAGTTGTGCGATTGCATCTGAGTTCTCTCATGGATGGTAAATTAGCACTACGGGAGATTTCCCCCTTTACCATAAACTAACTGGGTTTCTGAGAGATGATGGTGTTCTCATAACTTGGCTTTTAGAGACCCAGTGGATACTGAATTGCTGCTAATTCCATCCTAATGGCCACGTTCTCAGATGAGAGCCCGCCTCCAGCCCAGGCCTGATGCAGGCAGCCACCCGCTCCCAGCCTGCCCAGCTATGCTCCAACGTCGTGCCGAGCCCCCGTCACTCCCCAGCCCCTTCCTGTGGGGGCCGTTGACGTTTACTTGTCTGTGTGGGCCCACCAGAGTATGGGTCGTCTAGCACCAGTGCTGGGCCTAAGGGTGCTGCTGCCCCGTGCCCTGGCAATGCCTGCGCCTCTGTGTGTGACACATGGATTCAGGATTCGTGGATTAACCGAGTGTGGACCCCAGGCACATGCTGCTGCTTGTTTCCAGGATCATTGCTTTTTTTGGGATGGAGTTTTGCTCCTGTCACCCAGGCTGGAGCACAAGGGCACAATCTTGGCTTACTGCAACCTCCACGTTCTGAGTTCAAGTGATTCTCCTGCCTCAGCCTCCAGAGTAGCTGGAATTATAGACACCCACCACCACACCCAGCTAATGTTTGTATTTTTAGTAGAAGCAGGGTTTCACCATGTTGGCCAGGCTGGTCTCGAACTCCTGATCTAAGGTGATCCATCTGCTTCGGCCTCCCAAAGTGCTGGGATTACAGACGTGAGCCACTGCGCTGGCCCAAGATCACTGCTTTCAAAAGTGCAGGTCGTCACCCCGTTAGTGGGTTGTGAAATTAATTTAATAGGTCATGACCAGCATTTAAAAGGAGGAAGGAGTAGAAGGAAAATGTGAGAGGGCATCTGTGTCAGGAGGGCGAGCGCCCGGTGACAAGGTCTGTGCCCGCGCACGCACAGTCACATGGGAGAAGCCTTTCTCCTAGGTTGCTATGAAAGGCTGGAAATCCGCGTCCTGTGGGGACTCGAGAGAAACTGACCGCTGCAGTGCTTTTCCAGGCACTGCCTCTCAGCCAGCTCTGCCCTGTGGACGTCCACTTGCTCCAGGTGAGGGGACCCTGGGTGGGTGTTGCAGATTCTCCTGAGGCATGAGCAGCGCCCCTTCTTGGCTCCCCATGCTGGCTCCTGCTCCCTGGGGACAGGCCCAGAGCTGC